GTCTTGAAAAATTATACTGCCAAGTTTTTGTTATTTTTATAGCCACTCCAATTCTCCTACACATTTTTGCTTATAGAATAAAGATAAATAAATATTTGATAAATATTTTATTTGTACACAATACAAATTATTCTTGTCTGTAAATAACAGTACTCATAAATATTCATAATCCATTCACGTCAAAAATTTTGCAAAAGATAAAACTGTTTGCAATTATAATTTTATTCTGGTAATCGTAATGTTGCAATCATAATTTTATTTTGACTTACAAAAGTGAAAAAACGTAAAAGCTCACTTTCAATTATTTGGGACCAAATTTATCATTGAAGCATGCAATAAATATGATTTATAAATGTCACTGCCAATGAGTTATTTATAAGTCTGCTGATAAATTTGTAGTTAAGGAAATCATCTGACGTTCTAGGATTTCTTGAAGCATTTTTTTCATTCTGGTGTTGCGATTAACTTCTTCCATACCAGTTACTGTTTTCATTATTTTCCATACCATCAATTTTTAATTCAGTAATGGATGGTGCAATTACTTCCTGAACACCACATGATGACCGACAATGACCACCAGGTTCACCAGGTTCTCCACGTAAACCACTGGGTCCATGAGCTCCTGGTTCTCCTCGCTTTCCAGGAGGTCCCGGTGGACCCTAAAAAATCAAAATTTACGTTGTTTTTACATTATAAAAACTACATAAATATGCAAAAGAATAATTTAAAGAATTATCAACAGCGTAATAATTACGATTAATCGTTAATTGGAAATTACAAACTGGAAAAAGTAACTTAATAAATTAACACAAAATAAATTTTTTAATACGAAAAAATCAAAAACACTTTTGAGACAAACCATTTGACCCGGTGGTCCGGCAGGCCCATAATTATTCGATGGTATTCCATTTTGTCCGGGTGGTCCTTTTGGTCCACGTGGTCCAGGTGGCCCTGGTGGACCCTTAATTCCCGTCCCACCGATAGCATCATCGCCAGGTGGACCCTGAAATTCTGTTGTGAAGCATATACTGATATTTGCTTTTACAGTTTGTATGATGTCTTCTTGCTGCAAAAAATTGCATCGTTAATCAAAATTTGCTTTATTTGCGCATCTACTCTTTATTCTTCATGTTAAAAGAGTTGCCTTCAGTTTTGAGATAATATTTATCAAGAAGTAATATTGCTTTAATCTCTAATGTCAATAAATCAAATTAATTGAAATTTCATCTAACACTGGCAACTTGTAATTTTTATTGCAATACCTTAATTCCAGGATTTCCTGGTTGACCAGGAGGACCAGGTGGTCCAGGATCACCTACTCTACCAGCCTTTCCTGGATTCCCGGGAATACCATGACGACCAGGCTCACCAACGGGTCCAGACCTCCCCGGTTCTCCTTGTCGTCCACGATTTCCTGGTGGTCCTGCTGGACAGATTACGCTAAAAAAAAATCATCAATTTTTGAGAAACACTTTGGTAGTACAAATTGCAAATCAAAATTCACCAGGGTGAACTAGGCTCTGGCTCTAGTGGGATGTCTAGTCCATCTAATCCGGGTTTTCCTGGTCTTCCAGGCTCACCATCTACTCCCCGCTCTCCATTCATTCCAGGAGGTCCTGGTGCTCCTGGTGGACATTGTAATTGAACACAGCTATTGCACTGTCCTTCGTCTGCAATTGACGCTTGCCTACCATACACATAATCTGAAAAATAATTTTTTTCATCAAAAAATTACTTTGCCATTAGTAAGTACCAATTCTTTAAAAAATATAGCATTGCAAAAATTAAAATTAGATGGTAGATTTGTAATTTTATTGTAATCAAAAATTGTTTGATAATAAAGATAAAAACTTTCTTTGACGTTTGATACGTCCATTACTTTTGATCACAATCACATCTTGCCATAAACTTTTAGAAGTAAGCTGAAAAAATTTCCCGCTCAGACCATTTAGATTATTTTATTTGATTACAATTCACAATTTTTACTTTACATGAAGAATTAAATATCGAAATTCTGCTTTTTGATTAATAATAATTAAATTGTTAATTAAGAAAACAGTATTAAAACAGTTTTGTCTAACTTCATTGCAGTAATAACTTCTTATAATTGATAAGTTTGCAAAAAATTTTTTGGTCAATATTTGAAATCAACTAAATTATTAAAAATTTAGTACAGTACCAATCAAAAAGCGAAAATTTGATGCTCAGAATCAAAAGTCAATAATAATAATAATAAAATGTAATAAAGGTCAGTTTGAAAAAAGTCTTACAGCAAAATTATTCATACGTAGAATGAGCTGATCTGATGCACTGTTCAGTTTTAGAAACAGAATCGGTAATACAGTACTTAGTGTAGCAATACAAATTACAGAAATTATAACAGATAAACATGCTAATTTAGTTGTAACCGATAATTTTTGCGAAGAATCATAAATAAGCAAAGAATCAGATTTTGTCATTTTTTAATTTAATAAAATCTGTCAAAAATATTTGGAAGAAAATTTTAGGAAAGAAATTTGGTTGGAATACTTTTTTCTGTAATATATTTGTTTGAGAAATATATAAGTATATCTATCTATATATATATATGTATACGGGAAATCAGGAAAAAAACAAGCAAATGTAGGATAAAATTGAGGTCAGTAATTGTATCTTAAAATTCAAATCAGGTCAGAATGATCTATTTGAAAAATTTTCAGTCATTAACAATTTTTTTAGAGCACCTTTGCACGTGTTATTGGAAAAAATTAATTGGAGTTTGCTAATCCAAAATTAAGCATTTCCATTATCATTTCTGATTAGAAAATTAAGCAATTCCATTATCATTTCTGATAAGGTTTAATTTAATTCTTGGCAAAATAATTGAACTTTATAGTAAGTTTACTTATTATCAATAATTTCAATTCATTTCTTGAAGATGTTCTTTCAAAGTCGTTTAAATTTTGTCTTGAAATAATTATTAGACAAACTGAATGAATGATTTAAATTAAAAATTTTTATTGCAAATATTGTTTAAAAATCTTTTCAAACATTTAAGCATTCTTTTAATGCACACTATCAAATTTATTTGAAAATTTTAAATAACAGTTTTCAAAAAATTGTGCTATAATTTTTTCAATTAAAAATATGCAAATTAGAATAGAAATATATTTAAACGCATTACAACAAATTTTTCATTTATTCAATTTCAGACCAAAATTACGACTTGTAGCGCAAGAAATCGCATCTTCTTGAAAATTTTATTTCATACTGGGTATTTTGTTTGACGATTTTGCAGAAAACAGTACTTCAATTATCGTTTAAAAAATTTTAGTCGCTGACAACTATTTTTGTATTTATTGTCAAAAAAATTAATTTTTTCACTAATTTTTTTGAACATTGCAAAATCGTATGACAATTAATGGTAATTTGAGCACTGACTGCATATTTTGATAATTTTTTATGTACTAAAAAACTAAAAAAATGTAGTGGAAAATTAGTAATTAAAAAAAAAATACCATGAAATATATTTGTAATATTACAATATCAAAGTAAGCTTTCAATTACAAATTTCGGCTAATATATTAAAATTAAAATGAAAATAAGAAAAATAACAAATACAAGAAATTTATGGAATATAAATTGATGAATTATATCTGCTAGAAAATGGCTAATTCGGGAATTGAGCAACAGAAGCATTTTATGATGGATTCATCGCTACCTTCTCAAAGTATTGCGAACGAATATAACACGAAAAAATTACTTGCTGTAAGTAAAAATAATAATTTCAAGCATAAAATTTTGAATAATCATTATTTTGTAAGTAAATTTTAAGTAGTATTTGACAAACGTAAAAAAGAATATTTAAAAAAATTATTGAGTAAAACAAATTCCAGTACTTTAGTATTGTTATGATTTTTTTTAATCATTAACCACAAAAGAATAATTTATCAACTATGATAATAATATATCAATATAATTTATCAATTATGATAATAATTTATCAATTATGATAATGATTTATCGAAATAGTCTTGACCTCAGTAATTTTTTCATAAATATTTTCAAAGGAAATTCGAAATGGTATCAAACTGCGCCATGTCACACCAAATGAACATAAAAGAATTCTACCAAGCACTCAGCAAGAAATGATAAAAAATTCAATTATTTCAGTAAATATTGTTTTATTTTGTTAGAAAAATTCATTAAATTTTGTGTAATTTTCAGATGTTTTTCACAATTACTATATTTTGTAATTAATTATTTAAATTCATGTAATATTACAAAAAGTTGAATTGTAAAGCATAATGTGCCAAAAGAGAAGACAATTATCAACAAACAGCAAAGATCAAATATTGGAAATATTTTGTGGCGAGCAATGCAGGATCGTCGATGTTTAGTGCATTTTGGTAATTGAATACTTAATTTTAATTTGCACAAATTTTCAAAAATAAGTTAGTTAGCTTTAGCACTAAAAAGCTATTTTCATTACTAAAGAATAGCTTAAATTACAATAAAGACTTATTTGATCTGATAATATGACAGTCACTTCAAAAATATTTTGCTGTTTGAATTTATTTCAAGTAAGAATAAGTTTAAGAATCTTCGACATCAAGTGATGATGATGAGAATGAGCAAGATTCTGATGTATGGAGTGAAGAAGAATCACACGTAGCAAATAAGTAATAAATTTTCAATCATTACATATAATAATCATTGTATAAACGATTAAATTATCAGTTTTTATTTTATTTTTACACAATTTCCAACGCAAAAAAGAAAGCATAAAAGTTGTAAATTAGGGTAGATGACTTTAGCAAATATGAGTTTTTAAACTAACTTTTATTACTATTACAATTTTAAGTATAATTATTAGCAGTTGATGTGAATTGAAGTTTTCATTTTTTACAGACGTTTACGTACAAATACGTGTGATAAGAACTGCACATATATATGCATAATTTACAAATTTCGCGTATATTATGCATAATTTAGTTACAAAATGAATTAAACTTCATATCTTAACGATAAAAAGGCTGAAAATTAATTGTACATATATCCAATTTTAACAGCAAAAAAGAACAAATATATTATTAAAAAACTGATAACATAAAAATATCAGTTTATCTGATATTATCATATATATATATA